AACTAACATGAAATTTGTGGTGATTGATTCTAATTTGCCTTACAATATAATCATGGGGCGGGCTTGGTTACACGCAGTTGGGATGGTGCACTCCATCTATCATCAAAAGTTGAAGTTCCTTACCCTTGAGGGAGTAAGGGAAATTCGTGGGGACTAGGCATCTGCTAAGAGTTGTTTCTATTTGGCGGTGAAGGCAGGGGTCACCTCCAAGGAGAGGGAGGATGTACTAAATAAACATCAATTACAGTCCAGGCAACTGGGAGTCGACGAGTCCTAGGTCAATCCATTAGATCGCTCGATGGAGGATCTCCAAAAGGTCTTTCTAGTGGAAACGAACAAGGAGAGGTACTTCTTGGTCGGCTTTACCATGTCCCGAACTAAGCAAGAGGAGATGACTACTTTTTTAAGAAGGAATGTAGATGTGTTTGCATGGGATGCCACAGAAATGAAGGGAATAAGCCCCAACGTTATAACTCACAAACTCCATATTAATCCAGCTTAAAAGCCAGTGAAGCAAAAGCCCTGACGTATAGCGCTGCATGACGCCCAAGCAGTAAATGAAGAAGTGGAGAAGCTCCTGGGGGCTAATACCATCTGAGAAGTGCAGTTCCCATAGTGGTTATCAAACATGGTTTGTGCAAAAAAGAAGGGTGGGAAGTGGCACGTTTGCGTGGACTTCACCGACCTGAACAAGGCTTGTCCTAAAGATGACTTTCCCCTCCAGAAGGTGGATCAGCTGGTGGATGCCACAGCAAGACACAGGTGCATGAGTTTCCTGGATGCCAGGGCTGGCTACCACCAATTTTCCTCCACCCATTCGACCAAGAAAAGACCACATTTATCACTCCTAGAGGAGTTTATTGTTACACAGTCATGCCTTTCGGCCTGAAAAAAGCGGGAGCTACGTATCAGAGACTCATGAACTAAATGTTCAAGCAACAGATAGGGAACACCATGGAGGTTTATATTGATGACATGCTAGTCAAGAGTTGGAGGATGGATGATCATATTATAGACCTAGAAGACACCTTCTCCACCCTCTGAGAGTACAGACTGAAATTGAATGCGGTAAAATGTGTCTTTAGAGTTGATTCCGGGAAGTTCCTTAGTTACTTGATGAGTCGACGTGGAGTCGAGGCCAACCCAGAATAGATACAAACCATCTTGGATGTACGAAGCCCCTGGACAGTCCGGGAAGTCCAAAAACTCACTGGAATGTTAGCTGCGCTAGATCTTTTCNGAATAGATACAAACCATCTTGGATGTACGAAGCCTCTAGACAGTCCGGGAAGTCCAAAAACTCACTGGAATGTTAGCTGCGCTAGATCTTTTCATCTCTCGATCATCGGACAAATGCAAGCCCTTCTTCAAGGCTATCAGGAGATCTAGAAAAGATACTTGGAATCATGAATATGAAGAGGCACTCGGATGGATAAAGGAGTACCTCAGGGTTCTCCCAACCCTGCCGTCTAGGTTAAAGGAGAGACGTTGTTCCTTTGCTTGGCAATATCAGAATTCATAGTTAGTGGGATACTGATCCATGAGCATGAACGCAAACAGAAGCCACTGCACTACATGAGCAAGGCTCTATTGGACGCAGAGACAAGATACTTGCCCCTGGAGAAGTTAGCATAGGCACAAATCACGGCCGCAAGAAAGTTAAGACATTACTTTCAAGCACACCCAATCACTGTCCTGACATATCAACCCTTGAAAGCTATTCTAAGGAAGAAAAACCTCTCANAGTTAAGACATTACTTTCAAGCACACCCAATCACTGTCCTGACATATCAACCCTTGAAAGCTATTCTAAGGAAGAAAAACCTCTCAGGAAGAATAGCTAAGTGGGCGATGGAGATGGGGGAACATGATATCCACTACAAGCTTCGCACTGTCATGAAGGGACAGGTGCTGACAGACTTTATAACGGAGTTTTCTAGGGGGGAGTCTCCTCTCCTTGTAACCTCTACGTGCACAAGTCCTCCAACAATGGGGGTTCCAAAATTGGGGTGCTGTTAATCTCCACGGATGGAGTGGTCATAGAACAAGTCATCTGGCTACGCTTCAAAGCATCCAACAATGAAGCGGAGTATGAATCCCTTATTTTGGGACTCAAACTTGTTGATGCAGCAGCGGGAGCTACAAAGCTGACCGTCCACTGCGATTCCATGTTAGTGGTCAACCAGATCAATAGAGAGTTCGAAGTGAGGGACTTAAGAATGAAAGCCTATAACCATAAAGCGATGGCTATGCTCCACAAATTCAAGAAAGTTGAAGTCAAGCAAGTTCCTCGAGATAAGAATGCCCACGCTGACGGCTTGGGGTGTCTGGCCTCAGCGTTGGACTCCACCATGACACGAAGAATCACCGTGAAGTATCTTCCCAACTCCAGCATAGATGAAGTACCTAGAGTGGCCATTGTTCAGGAAGAAAAGAAGTTCCCTAACTGGATTGATCCACTACTCAAGTTCCTTCTCTCCGAAGAGCTTCCTGAATGCCCCAAAGAGGCTAGGAAGATAAAGTTAAGGGCTTCGAGGTTCTAGACCTCTACGGATCAGAAATTGTATCAAAATTCATTTTTTTGGACCATATTTGATTTGCATCCATGAAGATAAAGTCGAGCCATTCCTGTACGAGGTATATGAGGGCATATATGGGGGACACTCAGGTGGACAATCCATGGCTCATCGTATCATGTCCCAAGGGTACTAGTGGCCACGGATGTAAAGGAACGTGCAGGTCTACGTCCAAAAATGTGATCAATGCTAGAGGTTCTCTCTGATTATTCGACAGCTGGCAGGGGACTTACACCTGTTAACTAGTCCTTGGCCGTTTGACCAATGGGGACTCGACTTGGTCGGGCCCCTGCCAACGGTTCCTGGAGACAAGAGGTTCCTGATAATGGGAATCGACTATTTCACGAGGTGGGTCAAGGCGCAACCCTTGACTCACATCAGGGATATGGACACCAAGAAGTTCGTATGGAGAAACATAGTGACTAGATTTGGGATCCTCTGTGCGCTCGTGTTAGATAACATGACCCAATTCAACAACGGGCTCTTCAAGTCTTTTTGTGAGTATCTTGGAATTCAAAACTATTACTCCACCCCCTGCATGCCCGCAAACCAACGGACAGGCGGAGTCCTCAAACAATACTATCATCAATAGAATCAAGAAGAGGTTGGAAAAGGCTAAGGAAAAATGGGTGAACGAACTCTTAAGCATCCTCTGGGCATACAAGACCACCCCTCAAAACTCAACAAAAGAAACTTCTTACACTCTCGCATACGAGGTGGCGACAGTCCTCCCGTTGGAAGTAGGCCTCCCTACCATAAGAACACACGCCTTCAACACCGGTGGCAGCAATCACCAACTCGATTTGGATATGGGTCTCATGGAAGAGAAAAGATAAATGGATGCCTTGAAATTAGCTAAGTATCAAGAAGGGGTGTCCAGACTCTACAACCAGAGGGTCAAGTCCAGAGAATTCTAAATAGGTGATCTGGTGCTCAGAAGGGTGGTGGCGAACACCCGGGATCCAACAGATGGAAAGATGGGACCCAATTGCAAAGGTCCATACAAGGTCACGTCAGTAGGGGCTCCAGCTCATATAAGTTAAAAGACATGGAAGGAAGTGTTATAATACGACCTTGGAATGTAATGAATTTGAAGAAATACTACGTTTGATAAATAAAAGACTATCTTCATGCTAAGTGTGTCATCTTGGAAGGGGCATGACCCTAGAATAAGATTCTTGCGGACTCTTGCCTCCAAATAAAGACGAAAAGCTCGCCTCTTGGAAGAGGCATGGTCCTGGAGGAAGAGTCTTAGGGACTCTTGCCTCCAAATAAAGACCAGGAGCTCACCTCCTGGAAGGGGCATGGCCCTACAGGCTGAGTCTTACGGACTCCAACCTCCAAATAAAGACCAGAAGCCCACCCCCTCGAGGGGTATGACCCTGAAGGAGGAGTTCAATCCTCCACCCGCAAAAAGATAAAGGGAACATGTCCTCCTAGATGGAGGATGAATTCGAGGGAAGAGCACTTAAAAGTATTAACAGAATATCTCTCATCAAATGCATCGCTTGGAATGGGGGTACTTTGTCATACAGTATTCTACAAACCAAACATAGATCATTGAAAGTTTATCTCGTCAGGGACCCCCAAGTACACGCATGGCTAAGTAAATGGAGCCTGAAAAAGAATTATCCAAATGATATGTCCTTCTATCCTAGTGCCATGATAGCTCCACCTTTGGAAAGTTAGGAGGAAAAAGATTGAAAGAAGAATGGCTAACATCTAATTAACGAATAGGTATTGGAATGAAGGTCTCTATACCAAGGTATTGGTGTCTGCTTGCACAAGTACATGGGTGAAGTTCTTGGGTTCCAGCGATCTATTTATCAAGGAATCAAAGTTGGATAATAATGGGATGAGGGATCAACACGATCCTCCCACCCAACAGGCAAGCAAGATGACACTAGCCAGGGTGAGAAGTACATTAAGATAGGAATTTGTATTGCAGCTACTAAGTTTGCTGGAGAGTCAACTCGACAAAGAGAACTATTGTACTACTTCATAAAGTAGGTCAAAGTTGTTGAGTCACTGCCTCTACATGAAAAACGTGAAGCCAAATGGTGGTAGAGTTACCTTGGTTTCGACACTCATCAGCGCCAATGTTCCTCTTAGCCCTCCATGATCAATAAGTGTCCTCGGCATAAACACTCATTGGAGCTTGCCACTCCTGACATGTGCCCTTGGTGTAGATGGTTAACAGGACTTGCCTTATCTGAAATGTGCAAGTAATGACGTGAATTACAAAAGCTTTTTGACCCAGAGGTTCAGCACTTGGGATTTTCAGAGTTAGGGGTTGCAAGTACACAAAAATGAAAAGAAATCAAAGTCATTTCCCATTCAGAGAAAAAGGAGGCTTTGCATCCTCCAAGCTACAAAACTTGGAAAGGAAAGATTACAAGCAAAACAAAAGAAAAAGCCTAAAGTCTACTGCGCTGGAGACCCAGTCCCATCTTCGCCGATGCTACCTCCAATGTCTCCAAAAAGTTCGTCTATACTAGTAGAAAGGGTGTCGATAGCAAGGACATCCATCTGGGGTGCTAGGGCAAAAATAGGCACAGGGACAGAAGTTGGAGCCAAAGTAGGAGGTGCTAGGGGAAGAATAGTGTCAATTGGCACCAGGGGCACAACACTAGTAATTTGTGCCGAGTTTGGCACTTGGGCATTTTTAGCACCATTAGCTGCACCCCCACAGAGGCTGCCACTATCTCCGCAGAAGGGACATAGATGTGCTCCTAGAACAATGGAGAATCTTCAGGCACACCAGCAGCCTTCAGAGCTTTATCCCATCCCTACTTAAAATACTCCCTCTTCTGCTCCTCAAAGGCCACTAGTATATCGTGGGCACATTGATCTACGATCTCCTACTGAGTCTTGCTAGCGACCTCTAGTGCAGTTCGGACCTTTTCCAACTCCTAGGTAAGAGCAGAGCAAGTCTGCTTTGACTCCGCCACCTTGCCCTCCAATGCCAAGAGTTGTTTGGTAGACTCAATTATTCTTCTCTTAACATCAACAAGAACGACGCTTGTCTTGTCGGCATTCCCCTTGGCCACCTTAGCCTCTTTCAGGAGATCAATAATTTGGGCATCTTGGGAAGACAAAGTGTTGTCCCTAGCTGCCACTTCCTCCCTTGTCGTGGCAAGGGCTCCCTTGGCTTCGAATTTTTGCTTCTCGGAGTCTTGGAATCTCCCTCGCAAAGTGTGGTAGTGGTCAGCGATATCTGAGATCTGTTGGGCAGTCAGTTAAAAGAATAGAAGGGGAGTCGAAAGGATTAGAAAAATTAGAAGGAGAAAGGAAGGGAACAATTACCTGAGCACTTACCACTAGTGAGCTCTGGATGATGTTACAAAAAAGTTAGTTCATTGGCCTCCCCTAGTGCACTTCCATATCGGCACCAAAGAGGAGGGTCTCACTCACGGCGAAGGCCACATGAGGATTATGGACGATAGAATCAGAGACTCGGATCGGCCTATTGTCATGATCCGAAACCCGAGGGTGCCACTCCTTGGCTTGACTTGTCTGCACCGACGGAGGAGGTGGAGGCATCGTTGATGTAGAAGACACTGTTGTCAGATGAGGGATCTGAGTACCCTTTCCATGACCGATGTTGTCATGCCTATGTTTGGCCATCCTCTCTTCTTTAGGCTGAGGGTCCCTCTCATGACCTCGACCACCACCAGTTGACCTCGAAAGTGGAAAAGGTGGAGTGACATTAATAGAAAGAGTCCTTCTGGGTGGCAGAGGAGGAGGCTCGTTGGAAGTGGTGCCTTGGCCCCTCCTAGCCCTGCGATTAGCTCGTTGTTTGATAAGGTTGAGGTCGATGCGATAGTCAGACATCACGACTTCCAACTCATTTTCTGCGTCTAGAGTATGAAGGACGTTGAAGTCTGGCCAAGCCTCCCATCCGTATGTGCTGGCCTCGGTGTCAGTAGTGGTGGAAGGGTCCCTAATTTTGACCACCTCGTCGACGTCTTCCCTTTCGAAAGCCTCTTCCTCAGCGACCCCTTCTACCTCTGCTTATGTGGCCCTGTCAGGGTTGTTCTCCAAGTTTTTCACACCAAAATCTGCATCTGCCAATAGATCAAAGTTATGTGAAATCTAGGTGAATTTATTGTATCCTAAAACATAGTTATGNCGCACCAAAATCTGCATCCGCCAACAGATCAAAGTTATGTGAAATCTAGGTGAATTTATTGTATCCTAAAACATAGTTATGGAGGAGATGAGTTACTCGACCCAGGCCCCTATTTCCCAAGTAATTCCACACGAAGGTGATGTCGCTGATGTTGACTTGGTTCCGAGGGAGAGCGGTTGTCTTGGCTTTAGGAATTCCTGAGACNTGGAGGAGATGAGTTACTCGACCCAGGCCCCTATTTCCCAAGTAATTCCATACGAAGGTGATGTCGCTGATGTTGACTTGGTTCCGAGGGAGAGCGGTTGTCTTGGCTTTAGGAATTCCTGAGACGACAACATCACAATTTTTAGTTACAAAGTGTCATGACATACAAGTGGAGAAACTAAAACGAAGAATGAGAGAAAAGAGTCGACGTACTCATAGTCCTCCACTGCTTGGGGCACCACAAGTCAACATCGTACTCGAGACCGAGTCCCTTCTCCCATTGACTGCCAAAGATGAGGAGGTCATCTTTGTACCCATTTTCAGAATCTAGAAGATGGGTGACAAGGTACATTGTAGGGTCTCGGGCCTTGAGGTAATACATTTGCTGAGGCATGATCCTCTCCATGGCATAGCAGAAGAGGATGTCATCCAGAATGAGGTGCAGGTTCAATCGCTCGTTCAAGGCAACCACCTCCATGATGATCGTGAATATGTTAAGGCAACAAAGCCTAGGAAGAGTCAAAATCGAGAAAAGAAACGGAGGAGGAAAGGGTGAAGAGAGAACCTAATGTCCCTTCCATGATGGCCTTGGTGTAGAAGGACATTGCATCCTCGGTGCCAATGGTGGCACTATAATAATCGGTCTCAAAGTCGTCTACAATCACCTCGGGGGGAATGGAGTAATTGGCCTTGAAGTTTAGTATCTATTGTCAGCCCTTGACAGTGTACTTTCTGGACCGAGAAGGATCAGCTTTGTCGGCCTCGACAACTCTACTAGGGCAGCGTCTTGGCATGTCTCAAGAAGGAGACGGTTCTATGGGGTGTGTTCTCAGATTGTCAGACCTTGGGACACTACTGAAGACAAAACGACGGGTGAGAAAGTGAAGGGACCAAGCTGTCCTATTGAGATTAGGTTGGAAAGAAGGTGGAATGCGATGGATCACTAGAGAAATAGAAAAAGAAAGGGAATGAAAGAAGTTAAAAAAGAAAAATGGAGTAAGAGAGCTCACCAAAGTCAAAAAAGTGCATAAGTAGCAGTCAGAGGCCTTCGTCTTTGAGAAATGATGAGGAAAATGGCAGCAAAACAAGTGGTTGGCAACAACTCTGATGAGAACTCCGATGATGTTTGTCTTTTTAGGCGACTGAGTTTTCTAAAGTAAACAAGGGGGGCTGAGTTCGATTTATATAGGACCTCTCCCCATCATTGTGCACAAAACACAAGAAGGGGCGTATTCAATATGTACGACCTCTAGAGGTAGGATTGCAGCTACGCAATGATGAGGTGGTTGAGCCCTTTCACCTTCCAAACGATATGTCTCCCATACCGCACGAAGATCAAGGGCTAGGGACAGTTGATGATACACTTCTGAGGAAGGATTGAGATCTGACATGTGTCCTTGACACAGAGGGACACTCAAACTCTCTAACGAAGCCACATGTTCTTGACACCAAGGACAGCAAGCTCTTTGATAAGCCATGTGTCCTTGGCACCCAAGGCACACCTCAACTCTATAATGTTACAACGTGTTCTCAACACCGAGGACACTCAAGCATTCAGGAGAAGCCATGTATCCTCGGCACCGAGGACACCTCGAGCTTTATAATGTTAACCTGTCTTCAGCATGATTAGATCCCGAGGGTACTTTTGGAAACTCCACCTCAGCTCCCGGGAGGATCTTTGACAATTACGGCCTATCAATCTCAGAGTTAAACTATGAATCATTGGCTTGTCTTCCCCATGAAGTCAGAATGGTAGAGTGAGCAGGACCAGCAACCAAGGGGAGTCAGACGTGTGGCATAGTGTACAAGATTAGGTGTGAATTGAAATAAATATCCTTGTTGACATGCAGCTATTGAGATGAGCATTCAATGGATCCTCATAAGGATGTGGTGTCCATGGTGGCTTAGGAAGTCTAGAAAAAGGAGCATTAAATGCTCCGAAGACCGAGCATTTAATGTCTGTGCATTTAAGAAAGAGCATTGAATGCTCGGGGGCTAGGGGAAGGGATATTAAATGCTCGGGAGGTCGAGTATTTAATGCCTGAACTTAGTCCCTGCAAAAGAAGAAAGTGTGCCACCCAATTTCTGGGCACTACATCCTACCTAGTAGCCTGTGATGATGACCTCCATAGAAGGTACAAATAGCCTTCTCAAACTCAGCACAAAGATACACAAAATCACTTCCCAGAACATACACAGTGCCTTTCCTTCTCCTTTCTCATATAAACTAACTTAATCATCGGAGGGGATACGCCGAAAAACACTCTGGTGCCCTTTCTAACCCATATTTTGTGTGTGAGAAACCGCCTTTGACTCTTGGGGATCGATCGGACAGCCCCTAAAGTAATTCATCACCACTCCTTAGACCCCTTTTAGCCTCCATTTGCCGCCAGACCATCAACTTTCGAGGTAACCACAAGTGCACCAAGGGAGAGCATTGTTTTTATTTGTTTATTGTGCGAAAACATCCCATACAAATACCATCAGACACACACATGATATATACATATGTATATATAACATATATATATATATAGAGAGAGAGAGAGATACTAGTAAGATCTGAGATCTCAAACCTTTCATTTGTGCTTCAAGCTCTCAATTGGAGGGGAAGAAAAAGACAGGGGGACTATTACTTTTAAGATATGAGATCCACGACCTTCAATTGGAGGAGCTGAGAAAGAGAGAGAAGGATTTGTTAAATATGAGATATGAGATCTATGCTATCTCAGATCTCATATATATGCTTCAAACCTTCAATCAAAGGGGCTAACAGAGAGATTTTCTATCATCGTCATCGACCTTGACTGAAAGAGAGAGAGAAAGAGAGAGAGAGACGATGGGGTGGTGCTTTCGGTTTGCCATCAACTATGTGCCACAGAGAGAGACAAATGTGGGGTAGGGTGAGATTTTCCCTTTGGGTTGCTAGATAGATATTAAGATATTCGATAAGTTAAGTAAGGTGTGTATGAGAATTATCATAATATGATTAATGATAATAATAAGAATTTTATCATTTTAAATTTATAAGAAATATACATATAGAGTTTATAATTTATATAAAATTATTAATTAATAAAAGTTGGAGTCAGTGTTAGATTCTTTCATTTTAAACTTAGACTCCGATTCTATTCGGAGTCTTTCATTTTACTCCGACTCCTACAAAGGCGAAGTCGAAGTCAGTGTTGGATTTTTCAAATAGCTACACACCCTTAGTTGGTGGTGGCGGCAGCGATAGAGGGTGATGTTGGAAGGTGGTGGATGGCGGCAACTGTGGTGGTGGCAAATTTTAGGTGGTGGCAGATGGCGGTAAAGTCGGTGTTGGATTTTTAGATATCTACACACCCCTCGTTGGTGATGTTGGGTGATGTTGGGAGGTGGTAGTGGTAGTGGGTGGCGGTGGTAGTAAATGGTGGTGGGTGGTGGGTTGGAACAATGATGGTGGGTGGTGATAGTGGTGGGTTTTAGATGATGAATTTATTAGTTTATCTAGCAGTGCGTAATGGTGGTGTGCGATGATGATTTATGGTGGTGATGATTGGTGGAGGTGGTGCACATGTAATAGTTGTGGTGGTGGTGGTGGACGATGGGGTGTGGGTGACGATGGTGTATGGTGGTGGCAATGTTGGGCGGTGTTGTTGGGCGGTGGGTGGCGGCAGGGAATGGTGATGATGGTAGGTTTTCGGTGATGATGTTTGGTGGCGATTGTGGCGTTGGAGAATGATGATAGTGGGCGACAGTGGTGTGCAGTGGTCGCAATGTTGGCTAGTGGTGCTGTTGGTGGTGGAATTGGTGGCAGTGGTGGTGGTTAGTTGTGGGACGTGACAAATGATGGTGGTGGCGGTAGAATGATGATAGTAGTGCTAAAATAAATAAATAAATATAAGAATGATATGACGACAAAGGTTCATTAAGAGTATTTTTGTCAAGCCATCACCCCCAACCCACTACTCGATTGCCACCGCCTCTACCTCCACACACACCCGTTGGGACACATGTGCAAAACCCTCACTCCAATTCTCTCTCTAATGCCAACCCGCCATTCCAATTGCTAGCGGATTTGAGCAAAGATTAGTGTTGTGAAAAGTGATATGAAAAGCTTTGGCACGAATATGTGGGTATCAATGTGACTCTGAGTGTGTTTCTCTAACTTGGGTAGTTGTATTCTTCTGTGATTGTAGTATGCTTCTATGATGTGGGTTTGAGTTCTTTTGGTCCATGGTTTTAATTGAGTTGATTTGGTTTTCCTTGAAATTTATTACTCTGTTGTAGGTTCGATTTTTGGTGGTATTGCATTTCCAAATCCAAGAGAGAAAAGAAAGGGGCAGGGAAAGAGTGTGTTGGGGTTGAGGGTGGGGTTGCCATGGCGCAGAGAGAGAGAGAGAGAGAGAGAAGAATAATAAAGGCACATTGTTTGGATGTGGGTGGGAGTTTACCCAATTGTGAAATAAAGTATGTGTGGAAGTTAAAATAGGTTAGACTAATTATGTTTAGGAGTAATATGGGTATTAAAATGTAAAAAGTTGATGATGTAATAATGTTTTGACATTACCAGTAACAGTGCTAATGATAGGGATACTTTGTGAAATGTGTAGGTAAATAGTAAAGGTGTTAATGATATTTTAGATAATTGAAGGGGTTGTCTCTATAATTATAATAATCTGCAAGGGGTGTCATTATAATTTATCCTATTTCATATCGTGGTTCTTCGTATTTTGGATTTGGAGCTTCTTTTTCTGATTCAGTATGCTTTGGTAAGAATTTGTTTGAAATGACAAAAGAGATTTCTCCAAAACAATTGACAGAGTTTTGTGTGGGTGTGGGTGAGTATCATTCATTTATAGAGACATAAATAAACATTTATTCATAGAAAGACTTATTCTCGAAATGCAACGCTAAGCTCTCGGTTGGAGTAAAGGTTGATCACCTTTTTCAAATACCCACTAACTTTCAGCCACCATTATAAGATGTGTACTATTATTAGGATTTAAAAAATTAATTTAAAATATTAATTTAATGATGTAATAGTGACATAATCTAATAATATTATTATAATTGTAACTCTTGGATTCTTTTATTTGAACTTCATCGCTTCACACATTATTATATTAACAAATTAAATCAGTTATTTTCTGAAATTAGTTCTCCCTAAAAAAGCACCCATTCATATGTCTCTTAGGAAATAAAATCAAAATTTGGAGGGCTAAATTAAAATATAATAAATGTTATGGTCATGATTAAACTTAATGGAAAGTTTAGGGGTCTAATATAATGTTAATCCAAATATTATTTACTGAATAATTAGAATTCTAAATTGATTCTCAAATTTTTCCCAATCCCAGATATAGTAACTGAGTACAAAAAATTAGACTCAATTGTCAAAACATACATATCTCTTAATGTTAAGTCATCAAATCCTTATTTTTAGAACTTAATTGTATCCAAGTACACAATTTGACCTTTTTTTTTCTTTGATATATTTGCCCTCACTTAAATCATACAAATTTTCTTTTGACAGTTAATTTGATTTTTCCCACATTTAATTATCTCCGCTCAGTGTGTTTGTCTCTCATGCCCCTTCATCTTTAGAACAGTGTAGGGTTTAAGAATTATACACATTTAAAGTGTATCAATACAGTGTATCAAAATAATATACGAATAATAGAAATTAAACTTAATAGTGTGACTTCGTAATATTATATATATAACATATATGTGACCAAATTAAATCTAAAGTTAAAAATTTTTAATTTTAGTTCTTTGTAAGATAAGATAATTAAAATTTCTTAGAATTTTTGTACTTTGCACCTTGAAATATATCTTGATTTTCACTTTGGACCCTGAAAGATTATTTTTTTCATATTATATCTTCAATATCATAAATTAGTTCCAATGTGGCCCGTCCATTTGAAATTCCATTAAATCTAGCTGCACATGCCATATCTAACCGTTGTTAGATTGAACGGAATTTCAAACAGAATGACTACATTAGAACAAATTGATGACATTCAGGATGTAAAATGGAAAAAATAACCTATTAGGATACAAAGTGGGAATCAAAAATTCTTTTGGGGGTACAAAGTGGGAATCAAAAATTCTTTTGGGGTACAAAGTGCAATGCTGCGCCAAAAGTCTATTTATTTTTTGGCTTTTCCAAGGAAGTTTTACCTCGGTAAAAGCTATATTTGTTGTAGCGATTTGTAAAGGATGGATTAACACAAAGTGGCTTACTCATATGTATATAGCATTTTATCGATGGATCTTTAGTTCAATAGTACTCATTGCCTTGTGAAGGTTTTGTCTTTTTGAGGTCAAGGGTTCAACTCCCTCTTCCCCTGACCTCCCAAAAAAAAAAAAAAGAGTTTGAGATGAATTTAGTTAATTGGGATGGTTGGTAAAATGTGACATTTGCCAAATTAGACTGCAGTGGTGAACTGAATAGATCAAATCTTGATTATATTTTGTTTCACTAAGTGACCGCCTTATATCCTAAATCACATTCTCACGGTTGTTAGCTAAACAGTTTGTACCACTGTATGTGAAGCAATGGCCCCTATTGAGATGTTTACTAGATATGTTAATTATGAAAATAAATATAAGGAAGAAGAAAGGTTTGCACTTAATCCACATCGCTCCACCTATGTTACGCATAAATGTTACACCATGTCAACAATATCATTAAAAAAATGGATAAAATAGAACTCACTTCTATTCAAGGAAGTA